CTCTCTTTATGTGAGTTTCAACTATTTTTATATATGTGTAGGAGATAAAATTTTATCCGACAAGAGAAAATTAATTCCTATATTTAACACAAAAACAAGGGTTTAATATCTATCATTTTGTAAGAGATAAAACTATCTTATACACTATGTGAGGCCAATATCTTCTTTTTGTTTTTCTTCTTTACACATGACCGCACATTACAATCTCATTTTTGTTAATTGCCTTAATTTATATATATATATATATATATATATATATATATATATATAATGATACATAATTAACATAGAAATCGTTTTTATGATTTTTCTTTCAACAAAAAATATGACCTTTAAAGCAATTGGTTATTACGATCACGTATAAAATTTGCTTTGGAATCAGCTCCTCACCGGGCTTTTCTAAAAGTGGGATTTATTATCAAATGATGGTAGCTCAGTTGGTGCATGAGAGTTAAGCAGGTGGGACGGAGAGCATGTGTTCAAATCTCTCCAATACCACATTTGGGAGGAGTTTAAAGTCTTAATCCTGGACCCGCCCCGAATCGAATTAGTTACGAAGCAATTGAAATATTTCAAAAAAAAAAAAGTGGGATTTATCACTTTTGCACTATTGTGTTCATTCTATAATATTAGCGACTTAAATAAAAAGGTAAATCTGTCATATGTTGCATGCATGCAACATATCCTATCTAATATTAAAAAAAGAAAAATAGGTTGTAACAAACAAGTCAACTGAGTCATCGATAATTGAATGAATTATAAATCGATCAAAATATTGAAATCGAACGAAACTAAGAGATGTGTACTTATACACTTTTTAAAAACAAATGTTGAATGCTGCGAATTAAAATGCTAAATACAAAAGTAATTTTTTTTTTTGCTGATCTAAATACAAAAGTAATTAATAATAGAATTGGAAGCTTAGGAATTTAATATATGATAGAATTCCATTAAAATGTATTAATATGCAATGAATCGATTCGGAGTTGACTAACCAGTGCAGTTCATTAACGTTTACATATCGGGAATCCGAATTTTGCTTTTTTAAGTTCTTTTCCCATTAATAAATATAATAAGCAGAGTAGCAGAGTACTACTATTATATATTTATCATGGAAATGAAATGGACGGCAAGCTACCATTTTGCTAACTAGCTAGTACGCAGTATTATATTCACAAGCATATGACAGTTTGTCACCCCAAAAAAAATATGAAGTTTGTGACATTTAATTAATTAGCCAGTAGCCGCATATAATTTAATAATTAACAACAGTGGTAATAATTTGATTATTATTTTACGGATTCCGTCAACCTTCGTACGGGCTATATATGTTTCTTAAATTTCGTAGGGATATAGTATTAGATTAGCGTGCATTAGTAGTGGACCTAAGCTGGAAATAAAGCTTAATTGACTACTTGAAACTTTTTACCAATTATTTTAACCTATAAAGTTTGGAAATAGCATTGTGTTTGACCTATAAATTTGGATTAAGTATTCATGTAGCGAATTAGAGGAAAAGTTAGTGGCCCCTGGCATTGTATACATCAACCAGCATGCACGAGGCACATAAATTATCATAGTAAACATTCCTTTTATGTTTTCTATTTGTATTCGTTCTTTACAGTTTTTTTTTTTCGTATATTAGATAACAGTATATATCCTGATAATTTATTAGTTCCTTTCACATTATAAAAGCAGCTGAAAAATATTTGATCTTTAAAGACAGAGATTGCTTATTTGGGTTATGTTTTGAAGTATTATATTTGGGATCGTTGATACTACCCACAAAAATTAAAAGAATGAGAATAAGAATTTTGTCCTTAGGAATTTAGAAATTACAGTATATTAGACTTTGTAAAAGAACTTTTTCTCAGCATGCACTCAACCCCATTATTTATTTTTTATTTGTACCAATTTACAGCTTCCATAAAATAAAATAACACAATTTTTTTTTGTTCCTGCTATACTCGGTGCTTATAATTACAAATAAACGTAACATTCTCAAATACATGTATAGTGAAGCTCAAGCAACTCAAAAAATGATTTTCCCTATAGTTTTGGGTTCAAGATGCGCACACAATTAATTACACACACGTATTTTCAGATGAAAAAGCTTCGTTGTCCGACACATAAATAATGTATAACCAAACTTAATTAATTGTAGTCTGTGTGTGCTTGAGAAAACATAGGGAGCTTCAATTGTTTATGAATCATCTGTGTCTAAATACCAAGTACTTGTAAAAACCCAATTTGAACAGCGGCCGCTGCAAGATAAAAGTGGAAGTGAGTGGCAAATTGAATATGAAAACATCTTTTTATAACAAGACACCCTTTTTTATTTTTATATATTTTATTTTGTCCTCCACCTCTGGTTCAAAATTAAATGATTTTCAGCATAGTATTACTAATTTATGTACCTAAGATGGCACTTGTGAGTGGCAAGACCATTGAAATATGTGAAACAATAGGAAAGAGCCACGTAATGAAGAGCATGAAAACTTTAGCAACATATAGGCCGCTGCTTTGCCTTTGTCATACATAAAAGGAAACCAATGGTTATGGAAATTTTGTAAAGGGAAAGCACACGGTTCTGTCCCTCATTCCCACTTGTTTACACGCCTACACACGCAGACTAAGGGGAATTTTTATAATACACCCGTCGTAGGTGCATCCCACCAATGTGATAATGATACATTGGCTGGCATGTGTTTAAAAAATTAGTATCATAATTATATATTCTCAAAATACATAGTTATAATATTATTGTCGCACAATAGTGCGACCATCCCACGCTCTCCAGACTAAGATAGGGGACAATATTGAATATCTATATCTACGTAACATGAGAGGCTATTTTCAATAAAATTACCTGTGTTGTAGGAGACAATGTAGAAAGACATTAAACCCAAATAACATGAGAGACAATTTACCTGTGTTGCTTTCTTCATTGCCCCACCAGAGAAAAGGGAATAGAAAGAGCTTCGTTGTTAAAGCAATTTTCACTACCCTACCAGAGAAAAGGCGGAATTGAAAGAGCTTCGGTGTTAACACATGAAAAGAAATTCTTAGTAAATGCATGGGCAAACAATCAATCATAATAATTTTTCTTCATTTCTCTATCGAGCAAAAAGTTTATGACAACGCTGCTACGTGTATTATGTTGAAGCTTGGAATTGAGAGCCATATATTATGGAGCTTTATGAGATAATTAATTGAAAGCATTAACCATCATATGGTCCACACTGTGTCTTCTGATCAAGCTCATAAATTCGTAAAATAAATGTTTCTTCGCATTGATAATTTTGTGGGCGAAGCAGTATTGTTAAATAATTTTATGATTTTATGTTGGTATTGCGCACTATATTTGTCCACGTACGTCTTTCCATGAGTTTGGCAGAAATTAAATAAATAAATAAATAAAAGATTGTTACGAAATCTGTAGTATTATTAGTTTCGAATTACTTATATTTTGCATCGACCTTAGTAGTATTAAGTCTCACAGATATATTGAAAATTCCGTGCCTCTTAGTTATTCGATGGAAAATCCACGCAGCACATATAGATAATGTTTTGTTTGAGCCACTAATTTTTGTTCGTTTTCTTTTTCTTTTTAATTGTATGTACGTACAAGGCTCTGATAGCTAAATGTAGGATATGTTTTTACCACATTAAGAAAAAACAATAAAAAAAGTTGGTAAGAGCATTCATTCTTTATGTCGGCCACCTTTTTGGATAAAGCTGTGGAAATACAAAAAAAAAAAAATTAAATAAAAAATAAAAATGTCGTACGTAAGCCAGACTAGTCAATCCTTATATCCATCATGGCATTCATTGTTTGCTTCATATGTTTAGGAAAATTTCTAAAGTACTCTAGTACTAATAGTAATTAATTCAATCCAAAATTATAAATTGATAGATAAAATTATATTAATAGTTTTATATATATATATATATATATATATATATATATATATATATGATTTTAACGTCTTTTCTTATAATAGAGTCCATTGAGCTTGAAAGGTACATGATATATCAAGCACAGTCTATCTGTGCTAAGAAATTTAACAAAGAAAACGAAGGACGGCGAATATAGAATCCGAGACTCCAAGGCTCTGACATTATGTAAAGAATTAATTCAATTCAAAAGCTTAATATTAACCGTGGTGGGCCCATACATAACCTACAGATCCTTGGATCAGAACTAGGTTATTGTGTGAGCGCGCGTGTTAAAATTTAGAGTAAATACCCTTCTTGGTCCCTAACAAAAAATACGGTCTCTATTTTAATCCCTTACAAAAATAAATTAGTCTCGAAGTCCCTAACAAATTCAAAGTGGATCCATTTAGTTGGAATCGTGGTCCCTCACAAATTCAAAAAAGATCCATATTAGTCCCTCAAAAGGACTAAAATGGGTCCACTTTGAATTTCATAGGGACCAATCAACTAATTTTTTTTGTAAAGAACTAAAGTGGAGACCGAGTTTTTTGTTAGGGATCCAAAAAGGTATTTACTCTAAAATTTAATATAAACTATTAAAAAAGCTTTCATTCAATAACTTAAGTTGTTGGGTTGAATTGATTTTTTTTTTTTTTTTTTGTAGGTGTTGAATTAATTTTTTATATCACCAGTGAGATAATTACATATTGGCTGACATATACCTGAAAAGAGAAAAAAAAAAATTAATTTTAATATTATAACTATATATGCTCCAAATTACGTAATTATAGTATTAGGGTGTTGGATGCGATGTCTTACACAGGATGCTCTCCATGTTCAGGTGGTTAACAAAAGTGGTTGTAGTCTAACGTAAATGAGTGGACCCAAGTATATATCCTTGCATGTTAAACTTTTGAGTGACTATATTCTATGTTCTCACAACTAGCTATAGAGGGTCTTTTCTTGGTGCGTACTTGGGTCCATTGAACAGGGTTCTCATAGCTTTTGGCCCCCTACAAATACCTTCATTTTCCTCTCCCTTCATTGCCATAAACCCAAGTCATTCCTCCATATAGTCATATTTTTTGTTATCTACACACACAGTTCATCCTCATTAACATACACTCCCTCTTTACTTTGCAACTTGCACTCCCAGTGGTCTCTGAGTAGACCTCAGTTGGAGGCTGTTACGTTATTTCAGGTAATTGATTCAATTCATTTCATTTTTTCATACTTTGTACTTATCTTACAGCTAGCTTTTTTTGTTTGTTTTCCCAAAACCTCACATGCATGTATCCTGACCCTGCTTTGTAACTTGAAATTCTTTTGATTTTTGCACTCTTCACTAGCTAGATATTTTAAAATATTGCTCTTGCTTCTTGGGAGTGCTCTTGCTAATTAAGTGTTTTTCCCTCTCCTTTTTAATATTGGAGATGTCAGTTTCTATGGCCATGAAGATACAAACCCAAGACTCATCTTCATCTCTAAAGATAGAAGAAGAGACTATGCCGATGCAGAAGCAAGGCATAGTCACCATTTTGGGGTTTGACTGTGATACAAACACAGATTCTGCCTCTTCTCTTCGAAGAACTCTATCCGCAGAGATGTTATCCAACAAATGGCTTCCTCAAAAGGGGTCCTCTCCCATGAAAAAGATTGCTTCATCTGAAGAACTCTTGCACTCCAAAACCATTGTTGATCACTCATTCTCTTCTTCCTCAGAAGAAGATGACTATGATGAAACCAAGGAGCTGAAAGAAGCTGAAGCTGAAGCTGAAGCAGAGAAAGAAAGACTTGAGATTTGGAGTTCAATCCAACGAAACAAAAAGGAGGAGCAAGAAAAAGCAGGACCATTTGATATGTGGAGCTCAATCATGTCACTAAAGGCCAATGATGAAATCTCCAAATCACTTCCAGCAACTCCTTATGTTCACCCTCTTGTGAAAAGGTCAAAAAGTTGTTTGAGTGAGAAGAGTCTCGAAATCTGTACAGAGAGTCTTGGATCCGAAACTGGATCTGATGGGTTAATCCCCTCTTACCCATCATCTGAGATAGGGGATGCAGAGGAAGACAAAGAAGAGAAAGATCAACAACAACAACAAGAGAAAGTGACAGAACTAGCTTATGAAGAAGAAGATGAGGAATTTGAAATGCCTAGGAACAATTATGTTGCAGCTACCAAGAAGTCACCACCACACTCTTTCCCTCCACCACTCCCTTCACTCTCTTCTCGTCAAGTTGGTCCTTCACTCCACATGAGGCCCCACCGTGACAATGGAAGGTTGGTCCTTGAAGCTGTGTCCCTTCCTTCAATGAACAACTTCTTCGTTCAGCGCCAAGATGGTCGCCTTGTCCTCACTTTCCAAGAGCCCAGGGAAGATGCTAAGAAGGAAGAGAATGATCGTATGGAAGAGTTATTGGAGGAAGATGATGATCAAGAAGGTGATAAGGATGATGAAGAAGAAGAAGATGTTGATGATGATGATGATGATGAAGAAGAAGAAAGAGAGGAAGAGGAGGGCGATGTTAGGGATGTGGAGACTGTGATAGAGAAATCAAAGTTATTGCCAAGTGGGATTAGTAGTGCGCATAGGTTAACATTGGCGATGAATAAGCCAATTGGGTTAGTGAATAGGAACCCAAAATTGTCAGAGAAGTTCAATGAAATGAACAATTTTGAGGATGTTAATGTGGTGGAACAAACTCAAATGGCACAATCACTGCCTCCAAGGCCAAGGGTGGCTCGGTTGATTCCATCAGCTTCTTTCAATTTAAATGCTTATGAATACTATTGGAGGACCAAGCCAACAACAAAAGCTGCTAACCCTCTTCCCCATCATCAAAAGAACATCAACAACTCAACCCTGCAGAACAATAGCAGCAAGATCACTGTCTCTGGGAACATGAACCAAAACTCAAATGAGAGACAACAAGTGCTTGTTCTGAGAGGGAAGAATGGTGACTACTTGCTTCACAATTTGAAGAGTTGCAAGGATTCTAGAAGGTCGTTTATGTTCTGGGAACCCCATTGCATTGCCACCTCTTGAGTCACGGAAACAACCTAATCGTACACGTGCGGCCCCATTCCTAATCCAAAATCCATTGCTTAAACACTATTTATTACTCCATCCTTTTACATATCTACCCAGTTCCTCTCTTAGCTGTAGTGTAATAAAAGAAAAGGAACCGGGAGAAAGGGATATTGAGAGGAGAGAATACTTTATTTGTAATATCAAAGAAAAATGGCTTTGAACAGTGTCATATGATAATATATATGATTTCCTTTTTTTCATGTTTCAAGAATTTAAAATTTTTATATAAATTATATACTTCGGATAATATATAATTTTAATATAAAAAAAAAATCTTTTAATATTATAATTATGTACTCTCTGAAATATATAATTATTAAGAATATAAAAAAAAATTAATATTATAACTATATACTTCTCCGAATACATTGGGCGGGATAACTTTGAATTCCTACCAATTATCCCAATATATGTCTTTGCTATTGGCTAATACAAACACAACGTAATCTTAGCTCATCTTTTGAACTCGCCCTTCTCTAAATTATCATGGTATCTTAACTTTATAACTTTCTTGCTTTTGTGTCCTGCCTAATTTGTCTTATTTTTGGGAACACCGTGATCATTCCCTGATATATTTTTTGCCTCTCCTCAGTTCAAGTTACAACTGGACAAAAATAATACTAATAATAATAATAATAATAAAAATAAAAAAAGCATCCCTTGGCCTACAGAAATAATAATATCGAAAATAATAATAATAAAAAAAGCATCATCATGACATTGTATATTTTTATGATTAGATTAACTCGCAAAACAAGATCGAAAAAATAATGACATCATCATCAACTTTAAACTGAAATATATTTTAGCTGTCATTCTTCTGTGTGCGGGGTGACAAATTACGAATAGAAAATAAGACAATACAAACTTTGGAATAAACAACTAATATGGAATGTGATTTTGCTTCCAATATGTTGCTAATGGTATTGCGTGTATCACATGTTACTGAGTGGCTTTTCTCAAGGAAAAACTTCACTTTGTAATTCTATATCTTTCTTCTCTCGGGCCCAAAGAGAAAGAACCTTCCTTTATTTACTTTTTTTTTTATCCACTCACCCCACGAATGCTTACAGCTTACCAACAGTACTAGTTGCCTTTAATCATAGAGATTTCAAGAAGTGTTAATTGTTGCCAATCTTCCATGGATAACAAGTGATGATATGATTTTTCCTTTCCTCAGAACCAAACACAATGAAAAGAAAAAGCAATTTACTCTGATAACTTCTCCAGCAATAAAAGTTCTTCCATGAACTATTCACCCCCTAACTTTTTAGGCTAATACCAAGCCTAACTTTAGCATAAATGTGTTGGTCTTGGTTTTGCCCATCATTATTTAAGAGAGATTGTTATGTATATATATAGTAGCAATTTAAATTGCCAATTAATTCAATTCATTTATTGGAATTTTATAAATTTAATCTATCTAATGAGAACTAATTATTTAAAAGAAGGATTGCAAAAACAAAAGTAACAATAATGTTAACCCAGACTAAGTAAATTTTCATATCTCCTCCCCCCACTCCCCCCCCCCCCCCCCCCCCCCCCCCCCCCCTTCTCTCTATATATATATATATATAGGGGTAAACATTTCTGCAACCACTTTAGATAAGTTTATCTACAGTTACCCTTTATAAATATGTTCTCCCGAGAAAACATAGTTATAACATTAAAAGTTGCTTTTTTTTTTCTCTCCTCATTTACTTTTCAGAACCTGTCTGCTGACATGAAGAGAGAAAAAAAAAAGCAACTTTAATGTTATAACTGTGTTCTCCCGGGAGAACATAGTTATAAATGAGTAGCTATAGATAAGCTTATCTAAAGTGGCTGCAGAAATATTTTTTTCCATATATATATATATATATATATATATATATATATATATATATATATATATTTTGCTCATTCTAGTTACTTAAAAAAGAAAGTATTAAATATTTTAAAAATATTATAATTACACTTTTTTTTTAGAAGTTTATATTTAATTTTCTTAACAAGTACTTTTTTTTAGTATTAACATGGACGATTTCCATTCAATCCTCTCCAGCCACCTTATCATCTGAGTATGGCAACTAGAGTTAGTTCCTCATTAGTGCAGCGAGTACATTGGACAATTGTCACCGATCGAGAGGGGATGAGACTAATCATCTAACAAAGGCTTAGTGTAACACCCCGTATATATCCGGTAATGTTATCATAATATTGTATTAAGCTGCGCTTAATTAAAATGCGGAATTACTTTTTCTTTTCAATTATGATGCCATTAACATTACCAACTTGCTTAATAATCAATTAATAAAACATCGCTTGTATGTAATTGCAATAAAACAGCTAACTGAAATACCTCGTAATATAGATAATATAAGTGTGGCTCTAGTCATGGAACTACAACAACGTAGACCGGACCATCTAACAGTTTATACAACTCCAATCTAAAAAGTACTAACAGAGAGTGTCATGGACAATCCCCATGCTCACTCAAATAAGGCAACATGCCCAACATCAGTCTCAACAACAACATAATGATAAAAGGCATAAAACATAATCAGCATCAATATCCAGTCATGCTAACAAATAAGCAGAAACAACATAATCAGCTAAGCTCCGGCCTCCTGCCGCCTGAGGCATCAGTACCCATACTACCTGATCCTGAAATAAGCATTCCCCAAACGTGGGGTAAGATCTCTAATCTAGAAATCTCAGTAAATCAGTGAGTCCTCAAGGATCTTCCACCCCAAGCTCACTTACATGTGCAGTATAAGTTCAAAAGCAGTTTATCATTTATCATTTCTAAAACAATGCAATGCAGCAGATAATCATGCCATGTGTGTCAATACTAATCTACTGGCCAGAGACAGTGCAGGTATACGTCTATCACCTACACACCGTGCAAGTACCACTTGCATTCACCCCGGTACACCGTCTTGTATGGCACTACATACTCAGGCTTCCCGTCAAGATGAAACAACACATGCATATTAAAAGCCATTACATGTAAAGTTCAATCAACATATCAAATATCCAAAAGCATGTACACAGCATGCATAAACCATACCCCCATGGGACATGGTGGAACCACAACATGGCTAAACCGAGGACACGAAAGCTTACCTCGCAAGCTAACTCCAAAAGCCAAGAGTCCACAGCTCAAAGTCCAAACACAGCAGATTCACAATCTGTTATGGACCAACAATACATCAACAACATGCACCACAAGCATACAACTTAAAGACAACGCCTTTCCTTACGTTTTAGGTCTTAAGGCTCCATACCAAGCCATAAGTCCTTAATCACTTGATTCTGACTTAGTTTAATTAAAACAGAAGTTCAACTTCATCAATCTAAGGTCCACAAACCCCCAATAGCCTACTGTCCTTACAGCACAGCTACTGTTCTTCGAAATCCCAGAATATCCGGATATTCCTCGGGACCATATCCGGATATGCAATATCCGGATATCTCACTGGACGTATCCGGATATGCAATATCCGAATATCCAGAATCCCATATCCGGATATCTAATAACCGGATACTCAAAACCCATATCCGGATATCACATATCCGGATATTCATCGGGCACATATCCGGATATTTCACGACAGAATGCAGAAAATGCATTTCGTGAAGATATCCATCCAAGGTTGGGTTTTTAACGATTTAAAGCACCTAAACATGCATTTCTAGGTGTGTTCAACATTACCCATCAACAAGTTATCATCTTTAAGCCTTTAGATGCATCAAGGTACCATTTTTAAGTTCAAAAACTCAAGACCAAAGGTGACAAGGCTTACCAAAGCTCAACCAGCCAACAAGAGGTGCTCTTGGAGCTCAAAAGGTCACTCCAAGATTTTGTCTCTCTCTGCACACGAAAATGGTATACCAAGGTGGTCCTTTTACTCAACAAGAAAGCTCCTTTAAGCCTCAAAACCCAATGAGCAAGGAGGCACTCCACCCAAACCCCAACTCAGAGCACAAACAGCCCACAAACAGTGGCCAAACCTCAAGCACAACACCCTCACACCCTCTCAAGATGTTTTCCAAGTGTTTCCCAAGTGAAAGGATGAAGAAAACTCAAGAAAGATCAAGACTTGGTTCAAGAATGGAAGGAAAGGTCAATAGGGCAGTCACCAAGCAGCTGGTCAGCTCCCTCTCACCTTGGTTTTCTGTTTTCTAGGGCTATGTGCCCTTAAAAATGGGTATTTATAGCCCAAGCCACTTAAACACACAGTATTAACTTTAATTTCTACGCTTAGCATTTTAATCCCAAACTTTGGATTCTGAAACTACATAATTTTATAAGATTTATCATATTTTTCTTATAATTTTCTGAGCACTTTTCTGGTACGCGCTTTTCCAAGCTAGTACCGGTTTCTAGCATCAGTTCTCATTATTTGGATTGAAACTCGTTTTACAAGTCCTGCATATCATTCTAGTAATTATCATACACTTATTATAATTTTCCGGGATACTTTTTCGGTACGCATTTATACCGACTAGCAGAACCGGTATCTGCACTTTTCTTCCGAAAAGCGACTTTCAGCATTATTACTCACTTAGTATAATTATTAAAGCCTCATAATAATTATTAGAGTTAATTATGGAATCATTTCCTATTTTCTCATAATTTATTAATTAAATTCCTTAATTAACGGTGCGGGTTCTTACACTTAGAGTGCAAGGGTATCACTTCTGACCCAAAGAGTACGACCATTATATGACTACTAGAGCTAATTCCTCATTAGTGCAACGAGTACATTGGACAGTTGTCACCGGCCGAGAGAGGATGAGACTAATCATCTAACAGAGGCTTAGAGTGCAAGGGTATCACTTCTAACCCAAAGAGTACGACCACTTTACGGCTACTAGAGCTAGCTTCTTATTGGTGCGGAGAATACATTGGATAATTGTCATTGGAGAGTGGATGAGACTAATCCCTCAACCGAGACTTAGAGTGCAAGGATATTATCTCTGACCCCAAGAGCATCTATAAAAGATCTAATACCTGACTCTATCCTTGGGGCATAGCTCACTACCAACTATACATTAACAATTTTTTTTTTAATATTCTGCATCTTGGGTTGCCTTTAAACATGTCATATGCATTGTTTTTATAATAATTTTATGCATAATAATTAGGGGAAAAATTACTCTCATGTTACAT